CCCCGCCCACCAGGTCACCGCCCCTTGCCCGCCGGCCCCGCCCATCAGGTCACCGCCTCCTGCCCACCGGCCCCGCCCACCAGGTCAACGCCCCCTGCCCGCCGGCCCCGCCCACCAGATCACCGCCCCCTGCCCGCCGGCCCCGCCCACCAGATCACCGCCTCCAACCCACTGGCCCCGCCCACCAGATCACCACCTCCTGCCCACCGGCCCCGCCCACCAGATCACCACCTTCACCCCCAGACCACCACCCACCAGATCACCACCTCCCACCACCAGATCACTGCCTCCTGCCTGCCAGCCCCACCCACCAGATCAGTGCCCACCAGATCACCACCTCCTGCCCACCAGGTCACCGCCTCCTGGCCCAGTTCACCACCTCCTGGCCAGATCACCGCCTCCTGCCTGCCAGTCCTGCCCAGTAGACCACCACCCCCTGGCCCAGATCACCCCCTCACCCCATTGCCCACTAGATCCCTTCCCCACTGGATTGCCACCTCTGCACACACACCCCACCACACTAGATCACCACCCCTCACTCTGCCTGGGATCACCACCTGGTGACCTGGATCACTGCCTACCAGACCACCACAACACCCCCTCCCCACTCCACCCTGGGTTCACTGCCTGCCGTGCCGCCCACCAGATCACTGCCTTTCGCATCTACCACTGGATCCCCCATGTCACCCATCGGATCACCACCCACTTGATCATTGTCTCCTGCACTGTCTACTGGATCGCCACCTCCTATATCACCCAGTGGATTACCACCTGCTGCACTGCCCACTGGATAGCTGCCTCTCGCACCGCCTACTTGATCACTACCTCTCATCCCTATAGGGACAGCACCTCCCTACTGCTCCTGGATCACAACCCACTGAATCACCGCCTTCTGCCCTGATCACCACCCATTGGATCATCACGTCTCACCACTCAATGACCACCTCATGCACCACCCCAGAGTACTGCCTTCAATACCTCCTCCAGGATCATCACCTTCCACACTGCCCACTAGACCACCGCCTCCCAGATCACATCCTCCCACACCATTTAATCGATCACCACCTCCCTCCCAGATCCTTGCCTCTCCCAGATCACTGCTACATTTACTGCCTAATGGCTCACCCTTCCAGCCTCTTGATCACCACCTCCCAACCACTGGATCACCACCTCCTTCCCTCCACCATTGGATTCTGGTATCCTGTCCACCCACTCGATCCAAGATCATTCCTTGCCCACTAGATTACCTTATCATTGACTACCACCTACTGGATCTCTGTAACAGCTACAAAGACATCACATTCTGCCATCTAGATCACTTTTCACCGACTGCATCTAGGGCCCAGTCATAGCAAAGGATACCCATTCTACTCATTTGATGCCTAGATTCATCACTTCCTTCTCTTTAGATATCCACGTCCCTCTCATTGGATCACCAGCTCACTCACTGTACTCCCACTCTGCATTCCAGTATCTAGACCTCCCACTCACTGGATTACTTACTCACTAGCTCGCGTGGTCCAGAACTCCTACTCAATAACTCATTGTATCACCACGCACACTGGATTCAAGTATCCAGACTTCCACTCACTGGATTGCCATAATTCACTCAATGGATCCCAGGGTCCAGAACTCCCACTCAAATGTGCGTGTGATAATTTGCCAAAATTTGCTTGACTCTGCGGTGGTTCCAGCAGCTTGAAAAACAGCAAATGTGATGCCACTGTTTAAAGAAGGAGGTAGACAAAAGGCAGGTAACTATAGGCCTGTTAGCTTAATTTCTGTAGTGAGGAAATTGCTTGAATCTACAATCAAGGAAGAAATAGCGGGACATTTCGATAGAAATTGTCCCATTGGAGACCTAGCATGTGTTCATGAAAGGCAGGTCACATTACGAGTGTGGTGGACAATGGGGAACCAGTGGATATGATGTATCTGGATTTCCAGAAGGCATTCAACAAGGTGCCACACAAAAGGCTGCTGCTTAAGATAAAGGTACATGGTGTTACGGGTAATGTATTAACATGGATAGAAGATTGGTTAACTAACAAAAAGCAACGAGTGGGAATAAATGGGTGTTTTTCTGGTTGGCAATCAGTGGTGTCCCTCAGGGATCAGTGTTGAGACTGCAATTGTTTACAATTTACATAGATGAATTAGAGTTGGGGCCCAAGTGTAATGTGTCAAAGTTCGCAGGTGACACTAAGATGTGTGATAAAGTGTGTAGAGGACACTGAAAATTTTCAGGATATAGATAGGTTAAGTGAGTGGGTAAGCGTCTGGCAGATGGAGTACAATGATGGTAAATATGAGGTCATCCATTTTGGTAGGAATAACAGCTAAATGGATTATTACTTAAATGGTGAAAAATTGCAGCATGCTGCTGTGCAGAGGGACCTGGGTGTCCTGTGCATGAATCACAAAAAGTTGGTTTGCAGGTGCAGCAAGTAATTAAGAAGGCAAATGGAATATTGTCCTTCATTGCCAGAGTGAAGGAATTTAAAAACAGTGAGGTTATGCTACAACTGTATAGTGTGCTGGTGAGGCCACACCTGGAGTACTGTATACAGTACTGGTCTCCTTACTTGAGAAAGGATGTACTGGCACTGGAGTGAGTGCAGAGGAGATTCACTAGGTTGATTACGGAATTGAGAGAGTTGGCTTTTGAGGAGAGATTGAGACGACTGGATTTATATTCATTGGAATTTAGAAGAATGATAGGGATCTTATAGATACATATAAAATTATGAAGGGAATAAACATGATAGAAGCAAAGAGATTGTTTCCACTGGTGGATGAAACTAGAACTAGGGGGCATAGCCTCAAATAAGGGGAGCAGATTTAGGACTGAGTTGAGGAGGAACTCCTTCCCTCAAAGGGTTGTGAATCTGTGGAATTCCCTGCCCAGTGAAGCAGGTGAGGCGACCTCTTTGAATGTTTTTAAGGTAATGATGGATTTTTGAATGGTAAAGGAGTTAGGGGTTATGGTGAGTGGGCAGATAAGTGGAGCTGAGTCACAAAAAGATCAGCCATGATCTTATTGAATGGTGGAGAAGGCTGAATGGGTCAGATGGCTTATTCCTGTTCCTATTTCTTATGTTTTTATGTTCTCCCTGTATCCCAGTGTCCAGACCTCCCACTCATTTGCTAGATTATCATCTTTCAATTCACTGGAACCCACGATCTAGTTCTAACTCTCAACAGACAAGCAGATTCACAACCCCAGTGCACTGGATCCTCATCTTCCAAGATCCAGGACCATGATCTCTCATTGGATCTTTTGATGCTGCACTGCCATGTGATGGACTCGTGGATCATCAACTGTCATTCATTGGATATGAGAATGTAAGCCATCACTCTTTGCTCCTATATCCCGGGATCCCAATCTGTCACTCACTGCATTGGATCCTGGGACTATAATCTGTCACCCACTGCAACTATGTCCCAGGATTCATATCAGTACTTACTGCATAGATCCTAACTTGCCACTTACTTTTCCCATGTTCCAAGATCCCCACCTGCCACTCTCTCCTCTGTTTCCCATTTTCAGACCTGTCACTCATTGCACCAGGATCCCAAAGTGTCACACAGGCCTCTGGATATGACCTGTCACTCACTGCACTGAAATTCTGACTTGTCACACATTACGCTGGATCTTGGAAACCTGCCCCACTATTCAAATCAACCATGGCTGATATTCTGCCTCAACCACATTTCTCTGTCTCCTCCTCATAGCTTGTGATTTCCTGAGGGCCAAAGAACATTCTATACATGTGGTGGACTATCTACAGCTTTTTAGAGTAGAGGATTCCAAAGGTTCACAGACTTTTGAGTGAAGAAAAATGTCTCAGCTCAGTCCTAAATGGAGCAACTCCATATCCTCATCCTTTGACCTGATATTGAGTTGGGGTAATGACATCACATTGTTTAGCTCCTTTAAGCCCCCTCAGAATCTTGCATGTGTACATGAGATCATCTCGTATTCTTCCAAGCCCAAAAGAGTATAGGCCCAATTTACGTAGTCTCTCAACACAAGACAACCGTCCCAGGAGCCAATCTAGTGAACCTTCACTGTACTATCTCCAAAACAAATATATCATTCATTAAATTAATAAGTGGCTGGCCCACCCAGTGGCCTCGAGATGGCATGGTGGCTCAGTGGTTAGCACTGCTGCCTCACAGCGCCAGGGACCTGGGTTTGATTCCACCCTCGGGTGACTGTCTGTGTGGAGTTTGCACATTCACCCCATGTCTGCGTGGATTTCCTCCGGGTGCTCTGATTTCCTCCCACAGCCCAAAGATGTGTAGGCTAGATGGATAGGCCATGCTAAATTGCCTGTAGTGTTCAGGGATGTGTAGATTAGGTGGGGTAGAGGGGGATGGTTCTGGGTGGGATGCTCTGAGGGTCGGTGTGGACTTGTTGGGCTGAAGGACCTGTTTCCACGCTGTAGGGATTCTATGATCTATGATCTATGAAATGTAGAGACTGAAATGGCACACAATACTCCTGGTGATTATCTCACCAAAGCTATTTAGAATTACAACAGGACTTTGTTCAACTTAAACTCCAGTGAACGTACAATAAAGGCCAACATGTCATTTTCCATTCTCGTTGCTTCCTTTATCTGATTGATAATTTTCTGTATTCCTCATAAAATATACAAGTGTCTCTGAACATCAAGATCTAGAAGTTTCATGTCTTTTAATAAACATTTTGCTTTCCTATTTTGATTCCCAAAGTAAATAACCATCTGTCCATCTTGTTGCCCACTCACCTGTATCTATATTTCTGCAGCGTCTCTGTGTCCACCTCCTCTACGGACTTTGTTTCTGCATGGGCCTCAGCTTGCATTGCATAGGAACAGGTTATGTACATTGAATCCTATTACAATGGCATCGTATTGAA